CCATATCCATTTTAGCTTGCCGACTGAGTAGCTGTCCCAATAGGATCGAATGACTTGGATACTAGATTCACCACAGCTTATGATACTGGTTATGTCGGGCGTCGGATTGCGGGGGCTGGGGCGGTACATCAAGAGAAGCGTTGTGTAATAGAGATAATCGTAATAAGAGGTAGAATAGAGAAGTGCCGATGGGTATACTGGAGCTGTTATGCGCCAGTCATCAACCTCATGGCGGAATCGACTGAGTGTGGCGGCAGCTTCTTGGGGACACAGTCGTGGCAGGCTGCTATATACTACAGAGGAAACAATTAGAGGAAAGAAAAAACCAGACGAAATTCTCAAGACTTCACTTACAGTATTGATAGATGCGTGAAAATATCCGCCGCAGACGTGTCACCTGCAAGGGAATCGTCATCGCGCTCGCGCCAGGGGCTTCGGTTTCATCGTCATTGAGTTCTCGCAGAAGACCCACGCTAATATCGTTGTCCGCAATTCCCAATGGCCGACCCAAGGTGCTAGCGATGAGGCGATCGAGGTTGTAAAGACTCCAAAACGCGCGCTTTGCCATCTCCTCCTCGGCAATGCTAGAATAGGACCGTGTTTTGTGCAAACCCATACTAATTGACAGCCTCATTGTCGCACCCAGCAAATGCCAAATGCTGGGACCAGCAGTCGCAAACATAGTATACAAGGACAATCCCAGCAGTGCCCGCACAGCCGGTAAGTCTTCATTTTGCAATGCCAGTGGCAGCGTCTCCTGGCTGGCATGGTAAAATTCAGCTGCCTGGATCGGGTCCGCAGACCCGATCAGGAGGGAAATGGCAATGACGATGTGATAAGAATGATGCGTTTCTGGAGATGGAACACCACCGGTATAGATATGGCGCAGATTGGCCATAAACTCCGGACGAGACAGGAACGGGTACTGGTATCCCATACTATCGAAATATTGTCCAGCCAGCCGTTCCGCTTCCTCCAGCGACGACAAGCGCATGACTCGCCGGGCGGAGCAAGGTCGTGCGACCGACGGTCGGCGGTGCTCCAACTGATCGCGAAAGATCTCGCCGATGTTGGGGAGTTCGGTGCCTACTCCAGTCGAGGCCTCCGAGGGTCCTGCAGTCACCGACGAACCACCACTGCCGGCAGGGCTTGGCATTGAGGTGGCACGATTACCCCCGGTCGCAATCATGGCGGGCACCTGATACCACCAATCCGGATCTCCCTCGCCATCGACTGGTGTTCCCGTCGGCAATTCCGCTACCGAGAGGCCCGACTTACGGCGGACGACATCCTCCAACCATCGTACTCGTTTTTGTAAATTCTCCAGCTGATCTCGGGGGACGGAGGCGCTAGCGACCTGAGGACCGGGTGGGGGTATGGTGCACCGGACTCCGGCGCGGGTGCAAGCGGAACAATTGGGGTAACGAAAGTCGCATTTCTTCTTCCTTTTGCGACAAAAGTCACAGGCCGTCGATACTCGTTTGCTGCGAGTATGACTCGAAACATCTATAGACTCATGATGAACTGGCGGTGGTTGAGACCAGGTTGGAGTGTAAGTATTAATCGAATCCAAGCGAAATTTTCCCAGCTGATCGCGGAAATCTTTGTTTCCAGACGTGCTCATGGTCAGGGGCCACTTAAGCTATCCATTTCCCAAACATATCGACCAATTGTCATTGAAGAAAACGCACGTTCATCGAAAGTGTACTTTAGTGCTGTTGAAGAAGGGAAGATATGAAAAGTGGGGGGGCCCCGGGTTACTTTCGCTTACATAGGCGAAACGCCGATCTGTCCATGGCCGAAAGAGTTATCATTCTGCGAGATTGTGACTTTGGGGGGATTCTATTAATCTATATGGGGCACGGGGTACTACCTAAGTATCTCTGCGTTTATATTTATCGAGAATGGCTGGGACTATCTCAATATCCCTGTTTCGTCAGGCTTATCTTCAGGAATTAGGGTTACTTTGCATTTCCCGGTCTCTGAAGACATCGATGCAGAGCTGGACTATGAGGTCGAGGATCATATTGAAAATGTTTACTGATCAAGCTCCAGGGTCTTCAATTTGATATATGCCTATTCTTCTTACCGGATCCCCTGAGCCGTGGCAACTCCCGGGTGCTATATACGAGCCGTTGAAACAGTAAAACAACATGCAGGAACTGATCTACATAGTACATACCTGAAGTGGGATGAGAGCAACATTGAATGGACCCTCATGTTTCCACTATACAACGTTACTACAGCACTGCATGATATCCCCGTGTTATTTGGCCGATGATGCAACTACATGGAGCTTCTTTGCCTGGAAAACACATAAATAAGCCCTCAGTCCCCTCCCAAAATCTTGATTACCGACCTCAACTCACTCAATACACTTCTTCATTCACTATCCGAGTCTCACTCTCACTTTCAAGATGAAGATTACCGCCATCCCTCTCCTGTTCGCAACCGCTGCCAGCGCCACCATCCAGGGCTTCGACATCTCCAGCTACCAACCCAGCGTGGACTTCGCTGGTGCTTACAAGTCTGGCGCTCGCTTTGTCATGATCAAGGTGGGCTTTCCCGAATTCACAACCGTTCCCTTCTCCGTCCCAATACTAACTATATCAGGCAACTGAGGGTACCAGCTATACCTCCAGCACTTTCTCCAGCCAATACACTGGTGCCACTAACGCCGGTCTGATCCGTGGTGGTTATCACTTTGCCCAGCCCGCCAGTAGCACTGGTGCCGCTCAAGCCAAGTACTTCATCGCCCACGGTGGAGGTTGGTCCAACGACGGCCTGACCCTGCCCGGTATGCTGGACATCGAATACAACCCGTCCGGCGCAACCTGCTATGGGCTCAGCCAATCTGCCATGGTTGCCTGGGTCAAGGACTTTGGCGAGACCTACAAGGCTGCCGAGGGCCGGTACCCTATGATCTACTCCACCGCCGACTGGTGGAACACTTGCACTGGTGGCAGCACGGCATTCAGCGCGGACTACCCGTTGGTTCTGGCTTCATACAGCACCTCGGTCGGCACTATCCCCGGTGGCTGGCCTTACCAGAGCTTCTGGCAGAACACAGATTCGTATAGCTATGGAGGTGATTCCGAGGTTTGGAATGGCAGCGAAGCCGCTCTGCAGACCTTTGCCAAGAACGCTTCTTAAATGGAGCTAATTGGACCGAGAATTTCCCACAAGATGTATACTTGTATGTATCTATTGGTTTTTGATTCGTTTTCAGATACTTGTGCAGATCACCCGTTCTTGCCTCTTTGATCGAACGGCAGTGAAATTGATCGTTTTATACCTTCCCAGACGGGCTAGCAGCTCGGAAATGTCCGTAGATTCCCTAGATCGCTAATCCTAGTAAAGAAAAATGAAGGGACCTAATAGAGAATAAACCCGGGGGTGATGTAGAATGTGTGTCTTCTTATTGGTTAAGCCTTCTTCTTAATTAGGGTCTAATTTCAACAAGTCTTGGAATCCGATACCGGACCTATTCTAGGCTTCGACAGTTTTGACTTACAGTAATTGAGGGCAGGTTCATGCCACTACCAAATAAGCATCATAGGTAAAAATGTGGACAGTTAACTAAATATTTAGCTACTATGTCGTTGTGACTCATTCTTATTCATCGTGACGGATCCACTCCAGCGCTCGAAAAGGCAATGCAACTATACGGGGTAGGTATCGTATACTGTCAAGAATGGGATATGGCCCCTCTAGGCCTTAAACAAGAACCTTGGTTTTTGTTATGGTCTAGTGGTAAATTACGCTGTACGAAATTCGACATATACTTAAATCGTTACTTGTCTAAACAATTTGCTTCTAATGCGCACCAAAGTTTCAGGTATAATGTCATATCTCATTTTCAACTCAGATGGCTTTCTTACGAAAGATCTTTCTGTCGTATATCTTCTATTGACAGCCCTCTTGAGCTTCCTTGTTGTCCGCGCATGGCGCCAGACGGAAGAACCGACAATACCGATTGTCAACTCATACTCTGGTGATATAATTTTCAAAGAGGCACAATCGAGATTTATGTCAAATGCCAGGAGTTTGATCAAAGAACCAATCCAGAAGGTAACTTGAGCAGCTTTCATGACAAAACACTGCATCTAATGTACACGCTTCAGTTCAACGGCCCATTTCGCATCATAACCACTCTTGGCTCTCGGGTTATTCTCCCAGCATGGTATATAGAGTGGCTGAAAAATTGTCCGGATTTAGATCACCAAGCGCTTGTCCACGATGTATGTTGCAGCTCCCTTTACTAACGAAGGGTGGGAACTGACGACACACGATTTCATATAGCAATATTTCGCGGCATACCCCGGGATGGAAGGACAGAGATTTGTCACTGATCCCAGAAAGATTCTAATCAATGTCACCAAAACGAAATTGAACAACCAGGGCAGTCGTAGGTGACAGTTTTGGGGCCCATGGTGCACATTGGGCTCTCACTAACATGGCCTTCCATTACAGAGTGTGGGCTGCTTCATGAACATCTTACGGAGGCTCTCGACAAGACCTGGATGGACCACGATGGTACTTTTGCTCTATATTGTGCTGGAACGTTTGATTAACTTATTCTTCAGACTGGCACACCATTGATTGGTCTCAACACGCAGTCGGCTTCATTGGGCGAATGTCAGCATCTGTCTTTGTCGGTCCTGAATTAGCTCGTGATCCTAAGTGGCAAAACTTAATTATCACTTCGACAATGAATACCTTTATGGGGATTCGATCTCTCCGCGCCTGGCCGGCGTTTCTTCGTCCATTTGTTCATTGGTTTTTGCCAGAACTCATAAAGTGCCGTCAGCAAATGCGTCTTGCTCGTCTTATGCTACAGCCAATCTTGGATCGCAGGCGGCAGGGCGCATGGGCAATCTCGCTCTATTGAGCCTGGTAAGATAGAAAAATTCGAGGATACCATACAGTGGCTTGAAGAAATCGCTGCCGGACGCCCCTATGATGCCGCTGCGGCACAAATTGCGTTCGCAGTAAGTGCAATGCACACAACTTCTGAGCTACTCAAGCAGGCATTACTAGATATTTGTATGCATCCAGATCTGATTCCCGCTCTGCGAGATGAAGCACAGAAGGCTGTCGAGGAGAGTGGATGGACAACTGCAGGCGTCTTCAAAATGCAGCTGTTGGACAGCGCAGTAAAGGAGACACAGCAGCTCAAACCGGGATCATTAGGTATGTGTCTAACCCATCAGTACTCTCATATCAAGGTACTGAATTCACTCTCTCACAGTAAATCTTGAGCGGAAAGCGCTGCAAGATGTCATCCTTCCCAATGGCTTGACTATCCCTCGCGGGACCAATGTTGCAGTTGATTCATCCATGATGTGGGACCCAGCGATTTACCCCGATCCATTCTTTTATGATGCGTACCGTTTTCTTCGTCTTCGCAACTCCGGTAATACTGCAGCAGCACTCGCGTCCACCAGCCCGGAGCATATTGCCTTTGGAATTGGCAAGGCAATTTGTCCTGGGAGATTCTTTGCTAGCAACGAAGTCAAGATTGCTCTGGCTAAGATTCTTTTGACTTATGATGTTAGGATTGCTGAGGGGATGATACCCAAGATTGTGGAGATGGGATTTGAAATGCTAAGTGATCCAGAAGCAAAGCTGGAGGTCAGAAAGCGAAGGGTTTGATAGAAAATCATATTTAAATTGGTACTATATAAGACAATATAGAACATTATAAGACTAATAGACTGTAAATAAATTTCCAACTGAGAGGGGAAACCCTGTAATAATACAGTATATTACCACTAGGCCATGGAGGGGGCTGATATCTGTTCTGTTTCTTGTCTGACAGTCTCCCTCCACTCACTCATATATCTTCTTCGGAACTACCATGGATCTCATCGAATATGCCACCGAGGCCGATGGGTCAGGACTTGCCAAAGTCAACGTCCAAAGCTTTCAAGGCCGCCGTCTCCTCGAAGAAATTTTCCCAGAGGCCAGCTTGACCAGGTTGCAGGAATTCAAAATAATTATGGGAATGAAACATCTTACCAACCCCAATATGCACGTCCTCAAGATCCATGATCCAGACAGTGGGGAGCTGGCGACCTACAGCCGTTGGCAGTTTCCAGCATCATTTGGTCCGAGCCTGGTTACATTAAGTGAAAAGGCAGCCTTGTTGGCCAAGGACCCCGTTCCACATGCACCAAGACCAATGAATGAGGGGGTTTTCAATGCCTTCAAAAGGCTCCTAGAGGATGGTCGCAAGCGATACACCACAGATAACGATATCAGTAAGTGACCCCCACATTCGCGATAGGGGGTTTTGCTCAAATGGTTCATCAGTCCTCGATCTGCTAGCAACCCTACCGGAATACCAACGACGAGGGTTTGGTTCTGCTATCTTGAAATGGGGCATAGAAAAGGCAGATGCATCCCAGTCGCGTATCTTCCTCGAGGGTACGCCTGAAGGTGTTCCTATCTACCTCAAGCATGGGTGGAAGATATTAGAGGAGGTGGTTATGGATTATACACCATTTGGAAGTGTTGGGCAAGAGACTTTTTTCCTAATGATGAGGGATCCAATTTTACAATAAGAGTGCAGGGTTCCTATAAAGTTGCTCAATCTACTTTGGAGATCAATGTCGACATAAGGTACATTTACCAAACTGAGGATAGGCTTGAAGTACATACTACTCCAATACCTTCAGACATGTATATGTACATCGTACTGAGTGGATAAACGAACTGCCGGGCACGTCATTTCCCCAGGGAATTTCCTACACTTCCCCGGACATACTCTCTCTTCCCTCTTTCGCTCCCATATTCATCTTTTACAATGGCTCATTTCAAGTTTGCAATCCTTGACGATTACCAGGGCATTGCGCCTGCCTATTTCACTCACCTCGAGTCGCGAGTTGACATTTCCAGTTTTCCCGAAACCCTCGATCCCCGCGATCCTGCACAACACGATGCCCTTGTCCAGCGACTCCTTCCCTTCGATATCATCTTGGCGATGCGCGAGCGAACACCTTTTGCAGCCAATACCATTGCAGCGCTCCCTAATTTGAAACTTCTTTTGACCACGGGTACTCGCAACCTGGCACTAGATCTCGGGGCATTTACACGTTCCAATGTGGCTGTCGCAGGCACCGAGGGCCGCCCACCCGGTGTGAATTCGACGGTTCAGCATACATGGGCTTTGATCTTGGGACTAGCTCGAAATATAGCACGCGACGATGCAGCCGTCAAACGCGGTGCATGGCAAGGTTCCCTTGGGATCAACTTGTCTGGGAAGACATTAGGGCTGCTTGGGCTGGGAAAACTCGGGTCGCAAGTAGGAAAGATTGGCGCTCTGGCGTTTGGCATGAAGGTTCTCGCATGGTCAACAAACTTGACACAGGAAAAGACCGACGAGCAAGCGCACGCTCAGGGTCTGCCAGTGGGGACATTTGCCGTCGCCGCGTCCAAAGAGGAATTCTTCGCCCAGGCCGACATCGTCAGTGTACACAGCGTACTATCGGATCGAAGTCGTGGAATTGTTGGCGCAGCTGAAATAGCAAATATGCGACCATCTGCATTTATCATCAATACTTCACGTGGGCCCTTGATTGAGGAGCAGGCCCTCCTCGAGGCCCTGAATGCGGGCCGCATTCGTGGCGCCGCGTTAGATGTCTTTGACCCGGAGCCATTGCCTCTGGATAGCCCATGGCGTAATACTCCCTGGGGCCAGGATGGACGCAGTGAAGTTCTGCTTTCCCCCCACATGGGATACGGAGAGGAGGAGCTATTGCGGGGGTGGTATCGCGAAACAGCGGAGAATTTAGAGCGGTGGTTGAATGGACAGGAGCTACTGCGCAGGATGAATTGATGACCATAGCTATATAAATACAAACAACCGAGGTTGTTCCGAGAATGTGATGTTCTACATGTGGAGGTTCACCGAATGACGAATACGTACGATCCGGCTAATAGTTCGCCTTCACAAGTGTAAACGTCCAAAGGTCTTCGTTAGGACTCTTTTGGCAAGACAATTAATTGCGTTGTGCCTCGGTCTTCCGAGCGGAATGACCTCGGTTGAAGGGAACGATGTGGAATGTTCTCTTCATCGCTACTCCGTACGTCTTCGACTTAATAAAACCCCCGCGATTTCCACTTTTTAATTCCAAACATCTTCTTTTCTCCTATCCTCTTCTGTTCTCCTCTATTATCCCCTCTCCCCTTCTCATCTCCATACCTCCCTCACCATGGCCCCATCCGCCGATCCCATTCCCGCGACGCCCGCCATTGCCAACTTCCCTCCTCCGACCCATCCCGAATGTCTGCGCGTTGAGCGCAGTACGAAGGCATTTGCTAGCGGAGCTTATTCTCTCGTGGACCTCCCCGCAGGCGCCGTCTTCGCCAAGATCACTACGGCCACTCCCGGAAAGAAAGCCTACACGAGCGTGCAAACCGGCCGCGACACCCACATCGAACTCAACTCCGACCTAGTCTACTGCAACCACTCATGCGCACCATCGTTGGTCTTCGACATGGGTCGCATGGAGGTGCGGGTCGTGGATGACCATCCCTTGAAGAAAGGTGATGCCCTCACCTTCTTCTACCCCAGCACCGAGTGGGATATGGACCAGCCATTCCAGTGCACCTGCGGGGCAGGTGACGGGATCTGCAGAGGTTGGATCTCCGGAGCCAAGACCATGCCCGCCGACCAGTTGAACGGATACTGGCTTAATGGCCACATTTCCGAATTGTTGAATGAGACCAAGGCCAATTGAGGGGCTGGCACCCCAAATTGGAGGCTTATAGAACTATCGAAAAAGACACAAGATATCCAAATATCCGATAGAAAAATAGAGATTAGCGTTAAGACTAAAAAAAATACCACACAGACGCGCTATACTTTCATAACACTCCCGCGATCATTGCGAATTGAATCATCCTACGTCGGTCAACCTCTTTCTTCAACATCATCAAACAAGTCGCCACAATAACCGCTTCCTCCAGTTCAAGAGACTGTGACGCAGCTTCGTCGATCTGCAATTCACCCCCATTGCCCGCCGAAGATCGCGACGTTCCGGGCGTCCGAGCATCGTCTCCGCGGACCAGCTGTGCAATCCTGTGGCGCTGGGTCTCTTTACTCTTGGCCTTGTCTTCCTCCACGGCACGAAGAACAATCAAATTGACTTTCTGCCCATCCGCCCTTCTCTCCTTGGCATATTCCCATTCAAACTGTTTACCTCCAGGTATAGCAAAGCGCATTGAGCGAGAGGTCCATTTCCCCGCGACAGCCACTTCCTCGGGGCTGTCACCAGAAGGTTGAAGCAGGTGCACAACGGGATCCCGGCTCGGACCGAACAAGTATTCAGTCCGGATCAGATCTCCGCGTTTGGGGTGGGACAGGGTCGCATTACCTGAGCAACGTTTGTCGCGCGTGGAGACGTAAGCCTCGGTGCCGTCTGGGTTGTAGACAAAGATCTCAGTTTGGCGGGATGGCAGTGGGAGACGGAAAGCGCGAATGCCTTGGGCATTAATGGTTAGAATGCGCGATGGGTAGAAAGAGGATGGACTCTCGATGAGTGTTCTTGTCGTGCTGTTAGATCTGACAGACAAGGCCGAGGAGTGAATCTCCATTTCCTTCTGGGGGTCGGGCATGGCTGTAGTGTTCATTGTCCAGGTCTGGATGGCCACCGTGTCTCTACGTATGGCCGTGTATATATGTTCTTCCCCCGATACGACACTTTCCTATTTTGGGCTTTGGACGACCCATGGGTTTCCTAAACTTAACTCCATTTCTTGGCGCTCGTGTTCCTTGACGTCGATCACCACTTCCTTCCTTCTCTCATTCGCTACTTCTCTCGCCCACCATGTCTGGACTTGCTGAGCCTCACTCGTATAGCCTCTTTTGTAGTTCCCACGAGTGACCAGCCCAATTCATACGAGTCCCAAGGCGAAAAATACGATCTATTGACCTTGGCTCGAGCGAGAACCTTCTATTCTGGTGGATGGGCAGCGATGATAATGTCTGTCAGCTCCCAATACGAACTGCCGTCACCCGGTAGATGGTCTAAGCCGACTTACTTCGCAATTCCGATCAGCAAGTCCGCCAAGCTCCTTTCTACCTTTCTACAACTTCAGAAGAGAACAGTGGCTTCGATCTCCGATCTATTGACGCCGACTCTTTCCAAATGGGGTATTTCCTACGAGGATCCACTCCCAACAGTCCTAGCACTCTATTGGATATCACGCCTATTATTGGTTTCCGCTCTTGAGTCACTAACCGGCAGCCTTTTACATTCAACTGGGCTTGTGGTTTAGTGGTATAATACTCCCTTAGCATGGGAGTGGTCCGGGGTTCGATTCCCCGCGAGTCCATTTTTTTTGCTTTTGCCATGTTCATCTTGATGTGCTTTTTTGTCCAGCTCATGACCATTCTGCTATTTTGGCATGATCTGTATACATCTTGATATTTAAGTCTAAATTTTGTCCGGCTGGCAACAATGCCGCTATATCTACATCCCAATCACACTCGGGCCCAAACCTCTTGAGCCGTCAGCAGTGTACTCAAAACCATGGTCGATCCAACCACCACGTCCCCGGTGGGCATCCAGCCCAAAAGCTCCAACGGGATGAGCAAATCACAGCCATCTACCACGATCTGCTTGACCCGGGCAGAGGTAACAGTCGATTTTACCGCGGTCTTCTCAGAAGCGATCTTCCGGTTCTTTCTCTTGCCATTCTTCTTAGAAGGCTGCTCCGCGGGACTGACAAGCAGCGCCCAAATGGCTTCTGCAACAGAGAAAGAGAGCGCATATAACCAAAAGGTATTGGCTTGGTTCATGACAGGATCATTCCAGGTCACTGCGTAGACGCCCATTGCATGAAGCTAGCCCTTCGTCAGTCCTATTCACGGAGGAAGAAAAAACAGCAGTAAATAACATACAGTAGTCAGGTCTTCCAGGACAAAGTAAAGGCCAAAGCAAATGCATTTGGCTAGTTCAAGCAGTCCAGCCACAGAACCGAAGCCATCCTTGCCCAGCAACGCCGACATCCGCTGGAAGGAGTCAATGAACCCAAAGAAGCGGAAATATCTCCGCGCTACGCAACAAACCCAGTATCAGTATATATAACAGTCAATCGAGAATATATATCTATCAATCCAATATAGAATTCAACTTACTCAGTGCCAATTGCAGCTTGAGCGTGGTCAATTGCACAGCCAGGGCATTTCTCACAGTGAGTGCTGCGACAACCTGCGACACGCATTGGATCAGACGAAGGGTCTTTTCAAGACCAGCACCCGATTTGACAAAGCGAGAAAAGTGTTGGATCATCGTTGCCGCACTGCTACGGACTCTGGGGACAGTATACTCTTGTGGGATAGGGGTGGAAATTATGTGTCAAGGCTTGGAAGTGGGCTATTTTCACTTGCACTAGTGAGTAAAGTTGCTTATTCAGCCTTTGCATGTTCGAAGATTAGTATACATGAGTTATTTCACGTGTAGTCGGCCATTGATTGTTGTATCGAATAGTTCATATGGGTATTCTAAGCATGATTGAAGTTAGCTGGTGGGCATGTTGGAGATATATATAGAGCGACAAGTCCAGCACTACAAAAAATTTACATGAAATTGAAACAATTGACACGCAAATAAGACAATGCTCGCAAAATAGTACGTTGATATCGGTTCTCAGCCATTCACTCGACAATATTTCCAAGTCTGCTCTACCGTCCTTTGCCGCCCGAGATATCCTGACCCAGACGATATCCACCAACCTTCTCCCACTCCACTTTCTGTCGTGTAATGGGAAGCTGCCTCCGGAGACCCTTGAATACGCCCTCGGATGATTGGACAAACGCCCGGTTCAGCGCTTCCTGGTAATCGCGCTCAGCCGCAGCAATCCGCGAAACAATCGACTCAGCGGATACGGAGGGGATGGGAATGTTGATAGGCTTAGTAGTATTGAGGGCCACGTTGCCATCTTCGTAGTAGTGCACGTCAACGTGGATGTTGCCAGTCAGGGTAGAGGACGAGGAGGAGACGGGGAGTTGGTAAATTGCGCGGAAACGACCATTCCTATTGTCATAGAACAGACAATCCTCCCCAGAAGGGGAAGCGTCCATAACGATTAGCTTCCCAATATATTACTTGTAGAGATGTAACCACTCACCAGAAGTTGTTGGGGGAGTATCGGTTGGCGACCAAGACGATGGCGACGGCAGAGTCATTCTCAATAGGGTAGACACCATATGAGCAGTTGGGGTAGTGTTCGCGGGCATGAACACCGAACGACTTGAGTAGCGATTTGCTAAACACGGTAAGCGGAGTACCACCAAGACTTCAGCCGGGATCATTCCTTACATCAAGTCGGCGTGCTCTGACTCCAATGCGTATGATTGTGCTGCCGAGGCCGTCTATTGCCATGGTGCAAACCCGTAAGCCTTCATTTATCAGCCCAGTTGGTCAGGCGAAACCTACCTGTGTGGTGTGGTCGATCTCGAACGAGGTTTGGCTCTCAGGGTCGAAGTAGCGGTTGTCTTCGAGCTCATTAAATTCACTAACAATGACCTTCCCAGCAAACATATTAGTTTCGCCGCAGACATAGTTGACTCCCAAGCGAAACCCACCTCCTGACTTGATCCTGGCAATTTCACCGTTGCGAGCTGCGCCTCGTTGTACCGTTTGAATGCGGGTAGAAGGGAAGGAATGATATCCTCGCCTTCGGAAGTCAAGGCTTGCACATCTAATCAAGTAGTAGGGATTAGCACCGTCCATGTAGATGTCGGAATTGCGGGGATCGGGATAGGCAGCGTAGGGCTAAGAGGGCGATTTACCGGCGACAACATCTGCAAGCTAAAGAAAACATGTCAGTAATCATTCCTAAGCTCCAGGCAGACGTTGACCAGGGGAGTGGGGGATCCTGGATCATTGTTGTGCATACCTCTCCTGGCGGGGCACCCTCGATGAAGGAGGATGCCAATTCAACAGTGGAAGCCATGGCGTAGGAAAATACGATCGGGGTATTTGATGTTGAGCAGAGCGAGAGGTTCAAGAGCAATCCAAGTCCTTGAGTAATTCTAGAGCTGAGAAGTGGTAATTGTCTAGAGTCTCTGCGGAGAGAAAGACAGCTGTCGGAGGCGGAGAGCGATAAGCACGTGGCCTACTATACATCCAGGACTATGTGCGTACGGACATCAACATTCTGTAACGTGAAGTGATTCGTAAAATAATGTGCCAGGTATCTGAAAAATCGCTGGAATAACGAATGTGTATCTTGCTTCAAAATATCCATATCCAAATAACACCATGCTCTTAAAACCCTCCCAGAAAAACAAAATTCTCGAGCGCTAACGAATAATATCAAATTCCGCATCGCTGTAATAAAAGCTGCTTTCAATCAATGCTCATATTCATAAAGCCATCGCTGGCTTCGGTCATCCCTTGCAGGCCGACGCGTTTCGCACCTCCAGCATGAGCAATCGGTCGATTGCCTACATCAGAACTGAGTCGTTCAGAGAACGGTGGCCCGAGGCCCGGCTTTGGCGGCGGACCCCAGATGTTTGGGCCCATGTCACTGATATTATGGGAGTGGGTCATCACCGGACTACTCTGAGCACTCACGCTGGGTGAAACAGCCCGGCGCTTGAAAAGATTAGGATCGAAGTCATCGTCACGACGCCGCTTGCGACATATCTCTCCAATACTTGGCATACCCGGAGCATGGGGCGTGGAAGAGCGGGAACGCTGCTTGAAAGATTCCGCGGTGACAGAGCCCATGGTCGTAGACGGAGTCGTATCCATAAACATATCCTCATCTGCCACAGACGAGGGACCTCCCTGACGAACCGGGGGTGGGGTTCGGTATCGTCCATCAAACGAGTTCCAAAACTCGAGGCCACCCGAGTTGCGACTGGCTTGCTTGCCAAAAGTATCCGTAGATCCTGTGTCCATTCCCACTTTGACCGTCGGATCTTCTGTCGCCGTCGAATCCAATGAGGTCGAGGGCCGCAATGATGGGAATTCGCCGAGTGCAGGGGTGGGCTCAGGTTCGGTGTCGCGGACTTGCCGGACCACTTCTGCCTCTCGTTTCATATCGCTATCAACTGGAGCACCCTCCTCCATCAGAGCGGCACGAATGCGCGCAAAGGTCTTGGTTTTGGGCTGTTACTGTAGTTAGCTTCTAGATCACTGAATCAAAGGCACCCACATACAAGTAAGCTGCCACGTCGGGTCACCGCACGACGGATTACCCCCAGTGGACCGCCACCTTCCGGGCGTGGAGTGGGAATTGGGCTTCCGCTTCGCGTCGTGCGACTCTCACTATCGTCGCTCATATCGGACAAACGTAGGTCGCGTGTGCCAAAGCTGAGACTCTCTCTGCGTGAATGCGCAGTCTGCCGTGGAGCAAAATAACCACTAGAGTGCTCGACACTCTTCATGATAGGCGGAGAGTGAGGGGTAGGACTAGGTTTTGTACTGTTTCCACTCGCACTGCTAGAGCTGTGGCGACTACGGCCTTTGCGAAAGCGCGCGCGTTGGAAACTCATCAAGCTGGCGGCAGCTTGTGAATACCCTCCCATCCAGTCGTTGCCAGGGCTCTGAATATTGCTGGCAAACGGACTCGGCGCACTTATGCGAGTCGCCTGCGGCGTATTGATCATAACATCGTCGCGATCAGCCATGAACTCATCCTCCTCCTCGCTACTACTTGTGTCCGACTCTATCATATTCACACTCGACATGGAGCTTGAGATTGTTGTACGGTCAGCCGGACCTGATGTCGAGAAAGGCGGAACGGATGTCGCTCCAAGCGATCCGCGTCGCTGGGGTATTGCCATGCCCCGCCCTCCAACGGTGGGAGATGAATCTGGGGACGACTCGGCTAGGGTGGAATGGTGGAGGTTCGTACATGCGCGTGAGAAGTCGAGGCCCCGAGATCGTCGAGGGAGAACAGATCCCGGAGACCCGTAGATATGTGATGGGTCAAGTTTAGGAGAGAGAGGGGCGCAGTTCGTAAGTGATGACACGGCGGGTTTAGAAGGCAAGTTTAGCGAGAGGTTCGAATAAGATGCATTTGATCTTCGAGGTGTTGCGGGGAGAACGGGTATCGCATTGTCGTCTTTGCTTGATGCCCGACTGAGATCACCAGTGGATGGTTGAGTGGAGGATGTAGGTCTGGAAGCATCGGATAATGAACGCGATTTGGGAGAACGCGACTTGGGAGAACGCGACGGTTCAAGTTGGTGTTCTAGATCAATTTCATGGGGCTGAGATAATTGTTGACTGAGCTTGCTTTCAAACCCGTGGGCTGATGTACTGCGCCCTGGCGCTGGAGGTCGCACCTGCGCCATATTCAAGTCACTTTGGTCTGATTTGGCGATAAAGAGCAAGGGTGCACGTTGAAGGGCATCATTTGTCGGCACCGAGGCAGGGAAATCCGGTCAACTCCACAAGTAATGCCCGGAGAGCACATGCGCTGTAGTTTATGACAAGATATCCACAGTATTCGGATCGACGCGAGGTCTACATTGCGTTGCAAGTCGCTGGCTCTGAGCGGTTAACGAGATCAGATGACGTGCGCTAACCCGATCCGGCCAAGTCGCTTCTGTTACGGAGTAGTGACCTACATTATACAATCGTATACTTCCTATGTGCTACACAACTGAACAGAGAAATATGAGATCGATAGTTCAATGCTTTCGAATGAACAGACATTCCACATGCTCATTCTTTCTCATGCCCTCACGCCAGACTCATGGCATTGCTGATTGGCACCACATGCCATTCCCAATCATTGCATTGATTTTGCAGAACGGTTCCCTTGATCAAATCTGAATCGCGTGTCTGCCATAGCTTGGTGATCACTGCCCGTGTTCTAGCAATGTTCGAGATCGTTGAATCGGCCATTGTTGCCAGGGAACGTAGCACAATCACTCGTCCCGACTTTGATTCCATTTCCGATTCCGGGAAGAGCTCATCGTCAGATGGATCAAGCTCCACGGCTGCCACGAAGACTGGCCATGTCACATTGACTAGGGATTTACGGCCAAGGAGGTCCGATATGAGTCGCAGAATCTGGCGCACATAAGTCTTCACCAAAGGTGTGGTGGGACCAGCCCCGTACAGAGAGCAATGTAAGTAAAGCATTGCAGCCAGCCGCTTAGCATCTGCAACCAGTCCAAGAATTTCGTCAGCCTTCCCCATCTCTTGGACTAAGTTCTCTAGTTGGCGTTCAAGGGAGGCTGCACGTAGTGAGAACGACGCCTTGTCCGCATCAGACGTATTTTGTCTCCTTGTTCGACTCATATCTGTGATTTTGGCGAGGATTGACACCAATTCAGGACTGCATCCCATCCAAAGATCGATGTTGTGTTCGTCCGGTTTCCAGTAGTCGGTACCAAACAAGACCTCTTTGGCACAGGCGGTTCGGCCCATGACATCCTGGAAGGCAAAGAATTGCTCTGCAAAGCTCGTCACAGGATCCGATGGGGCTGCTGACTGCAATAATGTCATTTGCTGTTTTCTTCGCAGTTGGATTAAATCGTTGGCGCCTTTGAGATGGATGATCCATTGTTGATCACACTTGTCGACTATCTCGTAAAGACATAGCATGATCATGATAACCAGTACTTCGGGATCCATGGAGCATGTCAAGCTTCCCTCTGACGAGAGACGTTGACGAAGGTCCCTCAAAGTCTCTAATTTATAACGCAGGCCGATTGCACTATAGCTTGGATTGAGCCTTGACCAGTGGCATGCGCCCAATGCTTGGATGGCCTTGAAAAGCGTAGGAGAAGCCGATAAACACAATGGCAGAATCACAGAGACAAACGGCGAAGATAATGTGGAGCTGGCGGTTGTGCGAGGGCACACTTGTTGAAGATAGTAATCAAACAGCTCTCCGTGCCCAGATTTGGATAGCTCTGGAAATAGCGCAAGAGACGGAGGGAGGCTGGTGTTGAAATTCATGCTAACCACGCTGAGATGTGAGAAGTTTTGTAACCAGGACCATATTTGGTGGTTTCTGGAAGATGGTGAGTTTGAGCATTGGGCAACTGAAATCAATGCATTCCACTCGTCGAAGTCAACGTTCACTTCGTCTGGGTGTTCAAAAGTTGACACACCGCTGTTTATGAAGCCCCAAGGGCTAATAGTTGGCACTGGGCACCACTCGTGCGTTTCCGAAAGCGAGCCGTATGTAGGTTGATTTGCGCCGGTTTTGTTCCAAACACCTGCACGCCCAAAAGCCACTCCCCGACTGATGAATTCCGATTCCCATTTCAAAACTAAATTCTTCGTACATGGCAATCCTTTCTCCTGGCAACGTGTGCAAAGGGGCTTTTTGGTGTCACATCGGACACGACTCGCCCGACACTCTTTGCAACCATCGCGAGATCGGGTCTTCACCGGACCTGTGCGGTCTGCAGCTTTTCTTCGTGGCATACGAGTTCCGTATATATAAACTTCACATGGTATGAACCAGCCTGGGCCAAAGATAGTATGTGAGGTGGATAGTTGGAGTTGGTAAAGAAAATTGGGGGTGGCGGATAAGCGTTGGCCGCCCCGCCGAATCTCCAACTGATTTTCGACTGTCACTCCTATATCCGTATACTATGATGATGATGTGTATAGGTTACATGGAAATAGTTTGAATATTATCCTTAAGCATGATTCTTTTTCCACTCTGCCGCACACTCGCCAAATGTCACAAATTCAACCTCCTGCTGTTTGAGCCACGAAATCATTCGGTCAATCATCCCAACCACATGAGCCATTCCACTAGTATCTGGGTGCAGCACCAAAGGAAAAACAAAGCCTTGCTCGGAATCTTCCTCGATTGATTTTTCGACAGCCTCACTGTAGAGGAACTCAAACCGCGACTTCCAATTTTGCTCAATGGTGATCGGACTAACGAACCCGTGCGAGTTTTCGGCCGCTGGAAGAAACTGCATTGGAGTCATGTCCTCCATATACCAATTGCACGGAATTTCAATCAAAGTCTGGGGAGTTCTGGCTGCAGGAGCGGGGAGGGGCTTCATCCAAGTAGAAGCAGACTTGGAAGGCGAGAAGTCAATGGCCTTGGGCTCTGACATTCGAGGGACAAAGTACAACGACGAATCATGATGCGTGAGGGATGAATCTGTCTGAATTCAGTTTCCTGATAGTCACATATAATATGAGCAAAGTCGTATACCGTATAAAAATCCAAACTCTTCTAGAACTTGAATGGTGTGTGTTCGCAACTGATATAATGGTGCTCTCCATCCTCGAGGTTGCTTTCCAGTCAAGTCGGTTGCCAGCTGCACACATTTGGCGATGACCTCTCTCTCCTGTGACTCAGTCATTTGACTGGAGCCCTCGTGCGCATATCCATGGCAACCGATTTCAGCGCCCGATTGAACAATTGCTTTGGTCTCTGCTGGGAATGATTCCATTGAATGACCGGGGACAAACCAAGTCACGGAGGAACTAATTCCATGTTTCTTAAAGAGACGCAATAAGCGTGGCACTCCGACTTGCGCTGCGAAAAAGCCACTGCTATAATCGGCCAGATTGGTTGTAGCCGAAGCACCAGTCCCTAGGAAGCCCGAGACGGCATCAAAATCCACGGAGAGTAGAATTTGGACTTTTGGTTTCCTGGAAGTCATTGGAAGTGAATTTGTAATTTTCCAAGTAGTGAAAAGGTCCAGGTCAAGGCTAAGGGGTTATCAAATGACAAACAGACGAAGTTCAAGCCCCGAACCCCAGAAGGAAAGACGACCCGACACGTGGATCCACCCCGCCATAGAGTGCAACCATTTATCACTCCAACCTTTGCCTTATCAATTCACTTTCGGAGAACAACATGCTGTTAACGCCGATTCAACAAGTCTACTCTTGTTATCCTCTTGACTTGACACAGCAACATCTAAACTCGGGTTTCCCGTAAAGAAGTTGACCGGTTTGAGACCAACCGTCATCTTTTCAGAGGGCATCACTGGCCAATCCTCGATTCTCGGATTGTGCGTGGATCCAAATGTGTGCCAAATAACAATGTCCTCATTTCGCACTGTTGACTTGGAGTCCGGGTCCTTTCTCCGCTGAGCAATGGCTGAGTCGATTCCTTCGCTGCCAAGGGACTGCATAGTATGTTTTCCGGCCGGGAAAAGTTCGTTATCGTTATAACGGGTGATCCAGATTGCATGGTTTCCATATTCAGATCGCTTTGCATGGAAAGACTCTGGATGGGCCAGTAGCAGTTGGCTATAGCATGGAACAATTTTGAATCCAATCGGCGTACCGGTGATAGGATTGACTTTCGCCTCATTGATGATCTTGAACGTGCGATTCTTGTTAAAATCAAGATCTAGCCCTCCCTCTTCTGTCACAATCCTTGAATGTGTTGTGTACCCGACCCCGAACGGATTTAGGACAGATGGGTCGTTAAAGGGCAAAGGGTTGGACTCTTCAACCTGCAACGAGTTTGCAACTCCATCAATCGCAGGATCGATACGAAGAGAGAACAAGTGTTGGTGATATGGCGCAAGGACACCCGGAGCAACAATAGTACCATATCCAACTTCGTCACCAATGTTAATGGGACTGGTAGACAAGATCCCAGTGGCCCGGACTTCATAATGAATCGAAGCATCTTGGCCAAAGTGGAAAGCAAAGATATACTCATAGTTGCTGACCGTGATGATGGTCTGCAGCACTAGGATACGTGATCTGACCACCGCGGCATTTCCCGTACGGAAGTTTGTGTGCTTCCATAAAATCCCATCGTCTTGCTCATGACAGCAGATGACATTGGGCAATTTCAAGGGTTCCCCCGAGGAAGTGTTGTGCCATCCGTCAAAATACTTGATCAGTCCCAGGCAATCACATCCAAGCGATAAGTTGTTTGCGTTGATCCCAGCCCCGTCGTTCCCAAGGTCAAATGCAGCTTTGCGTGGATACGGAGCACGAGGATCCCCGTATGGCACAAACATCTCTGCCAATGACAGTCGGTAGAAGAGACTCCGACCGTCATAGCGGATGTCATGCAACGTGAGACCCTCACGGTAGTTGAAGCCCACGCGCATAGTCCATTTCTCCCAGGTCAATAGGTTTCCGTGTGACTTGAAGGAAACCCCTTCTGGCTGGACAACCTGGTAGGGCTTGGTGGTTGTGCGCGGTGGTGGTCGCAGACTGGGATGGTATTCACTCATATCAGTGGGATGGATCTTGCAGGGGTCGTACAGCCGTGCTTCTTCACGAACACTCTCGCTCACAGACGAAGGTAAATGGTAGACCTTGGTCACCCTGAGCTGCTCAGAGACCTCCGCACACAAGTCAAGTGGATATGCGTAATAGTTGGCGTCGGGATTGTCCACTAGTCGCATATAAAACCAACACTATTCATCTATGTTAGCTGGGATTGAGATATTGCGAATCTTATCAGACATGTACTGACCATGCTAGTCCGTTCCGACATGTCGTTCATGCCATCAGTGGCATAAGCCCACGGTTCGACAACGACCGAAGCCCCTCGAGGTAACCTCAACTTTCCAATTTCATTTTGTACCCTCTCGTCTGCCATACAAGCATTCTCAACATCTTTCATATAAGCCGAGTCAATGAAGGAGTGTTTTCCCACAAGGATCTCTTGTTGAATGACAACACTCCGGTCCAGATCAACTAGAAGCTCGGTGAGTTCATTTGGCTCCGAGTCGCCACGAACGACCACTTGGATGTGAGCGATACGACCAGGTCGGGAGACTTGAGGCTGGTTAAGATGTTCTCTCTCTAAGAATACTATCATCTCCTGCTTTGGTGGCTCTTTCAAGGTGATGAAGCGAAAGTTGAAGCTTTTTTCATGAAGTAGCTCTTGGACAACTTTTGCGGCCTACAATATGGTTGATACGACATTCAACTTTTGTTTAATTAAAACGACTTGACTTACCTTGGTAATTTCCTGGGGCACAAGAGGATCAAAAGGGTGCGTATCAGACATAATGGAAGTATCTAAGAGGTGAACGAGGATAATGAAGACAGCGTGATAAACCTGGGCTTTTATAAGTTGAACTGCAAGATATATCAGCCAACCAGTCACAGACAAGACCAGATAACGCAATGCATGATAGTCGCTAAGATATAAGAATAACCGGAAAGATCGGCTGGTCAATCGCTAAGGTAAAGAATAGCCGGAATATCTTCACCTCCAAAGGTTAGAACGGAAATAGACCTCTATGTATCATAGGAAGGTAAGCACTAGAGCCCATAGTATATTATAATCACCCGAATCAAAATCAGTGAGATGTTTGGGGATTTTCCTGTTCGGCTTATCTCCTCTTTTCCCCGCCTCAACTCTTTTCTTCCTCTCGCCAACCTGTATATTCAAAACATGGCTTCAACTCGCACCATTCTGGTCTTCCAGCATGATGCCAGTCTCCATATTCTTGAAACAACCGTGACGGCCATTTTCCCTTTCAAGGACTTCGAAGAATCCGATTGTCTACTCTTCAAAGACGCCAGCGAGGAACACCATATCATTGTCACCGAGAAGACTATTTTCCACCCCCAAGGCGGCGGTCAGCCCTCCGACACGGGCGTATTAAAAGGCCCATCTGGCACTTTCACAGTCACGGCTGTTCGCACGGATGCCAAGGGACAGGTGCTTCACCTCGGTCTCTTCGAGGACTCGTCATCCGCTTTCAACAAAGGCGAGACCGTTGAGCAGGCAATTGATGTGGAAAAACGTCAACTATATTCCCGTTTGCATACTGCAGGCCACGTACTAGGTGCATCAGTCCGACATCTTTTGGAGAAAGAGATTGAGAACTTTGATGAACTGAAGGCCTCACATTTCCCCGACTCGGCAGCATGCGAGTTTCAAGGCTCAATTGAAGGGAAATGGAAGGACCCTATCCAGAACAAGCTGGATGAATATATCGCCGCCAAGATGCCTGTCCAAATCGAATGGTGGGATGAAGAGGATTTCCGGTCGCGTGGTCTGGAGCGATTGATTCCTGACCGCAGCTTGGTGCCTGCAGGTGAAAAGTCTCGTGTGGTCAACATCGTCGGTGCTGAAGTGTACCCTTGCGGAGGCACGCATGTCGATACGACAGATTTGTGTGGGCCTGTGACGGTCAAGAAGATTTCGAGAAAGCAAGGGAACTCACGAGTTAGCTATGTGGTGAAATGATGTTGTTTCACTGGTTCGGCTTTTGGGAATACCATATAGACAAGGAGTGAGCGACCCAATAGACCAAAATAATAGATGTTTTGACTAGACCTCATCTTGAATCGCTTCCACCTCGGCGATATGTTACAGAAAAGTTCTACATTACATGTGAGAGCAATGGGAGGCCTATGTTGTTACCTTTCAGATGTCTAAATAAGGGCCCAACAGCAAATGTCTCTGATGGTGCGAGTGAATACTCCAGGGTAGAAAAATCATATTATGCCTAAAAGTCAGCGCTAGATTCATCGAGATGGCTCTATCTCCTGGAGCTGATAGCCTTCCTCCGAGGGATCAGCGCGTGAAATAAAGGGCCGCGCAAGAGCCTCCTCATCATCTAATTTGGCGAAGCCATCGGGTCCAGCAATATCAGCTTTGTCATAAGGAACGTCACACATGACCGACCGCAGCGGTGGATAGTAGCGGCGGTATGAAAACCAGGCTATCAGCATGCCCAAGAGTCCTCCACACGTCACATCATATACATCATGCCGATAATCGGCCAGACGGGACAGGGCGACCATCAAAGCACACAACAAGGGGAAAAACCCAAGTAAACAGCGTCCAAGATCCGTTCGAGGACGGAAAACATGCATTTGACCACACAAGAAGCTATAAAGTGACGATTGTTAGATGGAGTGTCCCAGCGCTGCGCATCAGAATCACTTACAGATATAAATAGCCCAGCCCGCCAAAAGAGAAGCTGCTATGCCCACTAGGGAAGCTCCTCCATCCCTCTTGTAGAATGTGCTGGTTCGATTCTGTGCAGACAGTCCATGCGACCAGCGCATTGTTCGATGTACCTCGGGAGGGTTTGCAGCGCGATAACAAGTCCGGACGTGGTCTCCCTGCTGCATTTTTTATTATGTCCGTCAGGAACGAGGTCAACATCAAAGCCACGAATAGTCCGAGTACTGTCACTTGCGTCTTATGCACACCGACGCGAAACGTTGCGGACCAGGCGAGAATCACCAGAAAAGGAATCAGACCAGCGAAGATGACCGACCACACTTTTACTCCGGTTAGAAACAAGTGAAGCAGACTGCATCATTGGAAATTGACTTACAAACAGGAACTCGTTCGTGGACAGCGAACGGGTACTGAATGGCTTTGTTATCCAGCGAAAACATGCGATGGAACGGGTTCACGAATAATTGAATCTATTCATGTATTAAAAATGTGCAGATCCATGATTTAGATCGTTTGCGACTTACCAGTACCCATCCTGCCACTAGAAACCCCAATGCGATATAGTCGGCGGCATAGGTGCGTTGCGCAAAGCGAGCTGCAGCACCAGCGAGTCCAACACGTTGTAGAATCGGGGTCGACCCGTTCCCCGAACCATTGTGAGGCATCCTGCACAACTGCCGAGGACGCCAGAGAGATATTCAGATCTTGACTGGGCGCATGTCGAGATTGGAAAAGGTCAAGTTGACATTCGACCCACATTGCGGAAGCACAGACCACGTCACCGCTCCGTCTTCCAAACAACTCGGAGAAACTTCAACTCTGCTCACTTGGCTCACTTTCTTTCTCCTTTCTCACATCTTCTATCCTCGTACTAGTCGGTATGGCCGATGAGAGCCAACAACGAGCTGTGACCACGTCATTTGCGCCCCCGCCGCCCTTATGGAAACACTTCACGCGTGAGAATATCGACAAGCTGGAACAGATCAAAGCTGAAGCTTCCAAGGGCGAGGATGGACGGTTGAACAAGCACAAGCAGTGGTCCGCAGCTGAATTGCGCGCTCTGGAGCTCCCCTCAGAGCTCCGGTACCTAGTGCCGCCCGACATCCCCGAAGGACAATACAGCGTCTTTGGCGAGTTGCAAACCGTTCGTTCCCCTACATCTGAGCTCTGCGCCGGACAATACTGACTCTGAAATAGCTGTCTACAACATTGCCGTCATTACAAGAGCAAGGCATCGAACAACTCTACCCAGAACCCCCCGCAGCCGGTACCGACCAGAACTCGCAGCCCTCACCCCCTCTCAATCACGCATACTATCTTCTCAAGATCAGCAAGTCCCTGCTCCTTAATTTCCTAGAGTTCACCGGTATCCTATCGGTTTCGCCGGAACAATTCGAATCCAAGGTCGAAGACCTGCGCAACTTATTCATCAATGCACACCACCTTCTCAACCTCTACCGTCCACACCAAGCGCGCGAATCACTCATCATGATGATGGAAGAGCAGCTCAACCACAGCCGAGAGGAAATGAAACAAATGGACAAAGTCAAAGCGGAGGTTGAGAGTGTACTAGAGCAGCTGCAAGCGGAGGGCAGCCGCATGGCTACCACTGGGTCAGGAGACGATACCGACCAGGCCAAAGCGCTGAAAGAAAAGGCCGATGAGCACTCTCGGCTGATCTGGGATCTACTGGACAAAGAAAACTGAATCCAACAACGGGCTGGTTTCTCTGAATTTGAACAGTATTGCCTTCTCCGAGTCGAACGACTGAACCATTCCTGCGTTACGTGTTTAAATGTGACACTGTTTCAAAGGTCAGCCTCGTTGAAAAGCCTACCGCGGAGGAATCTCGAATCGAGTATTCATCAGCATCCAACAAATCGTCCCTCGGGTTCTCTATCCAGGCGTCTCATGGGCACGCAAGCTCACTGGGCTGTCAAATATGATGTGTCGATGGAAGGATCGCGCGCTTCGTATCATCCAAGGCAGATATTGAACCACACCAATATCTTGGGGACATTCCGATGTTCTAGCAACCTGCTATCAAGAGCGCCTCGTTTTAGGATACTGAACTATCTAAGACCGGCTCTCTCGAAATGCCATTAAACCACTCGAGAGGCCAGCAACATGCCGGTTTTCGTGAATGTCTGCCGGAACTTCTTGCTTACAACTACAGGCAGTATCATATATCGCATATCATTCTATTATACACTGGTCTGACCATTTCTACCGAATGCAATGCAAATGACTGTTCTTCCTTCTACATTATTATTTCGTCAATTCTAAGTACCGTAGCCAATAAACTCCTCACGCTAAAGTAGCCAATGAGTGAAATAACAATAACAAAATGCAAATCAATGAGAGGCGGCGCGTTGCTCCGCCCAGGCCTTATCAATGGCACACTCGGCCAGTCGCTTCAATTCCACAATGAAATCGGCGACCAATTTGAAATGCACAAGTTCAGTTGCAGGTAGTTTCCGTGAAAAAATACGCTCAATCATGACCGTGGCGACATTCAATCGGCCCAAGTCTTCACGCGAATGTGGGTCCAATGGGTTCTGAAGAATACTGCAGAAGATGGTGAGCAGCGCGGACATTGGGTAGAATATCAGAGTCCTAGGAGGATTAGCTTGGGTTTCAGATACATAGCATGACAAAAATCACGTACCAAAAAACCCCGTCGACTACCACATGTTCTGCCGCCTCCAGGTAACATAGACTTGATCGACTGGCTTCTACCGAAAGTGCCATACTTGAACTCACCCCATCCATCATACCGCTTTGTCCTTGCATCCACGCCTTACATCTTCCACTCGCTTGATGGATGATGGTCATGCATAGGTGATAGTTCAGACGTAGCATGACGGTGTGCATGCGCATGTTCGGATCCGAGGTCTCGGAAGAAAAGGACATGGTTGGACGCCATCTAGGAGGGACCGATAGCCGCCATTCTTCTAGCGCGTCATCGAGTTCTCGGATTGACTTGAGCAGCTCGGCGTCTGATTTTTGGAGACAGCTGACTGAATATAGCTCTCGATGCGCCCGGGCTTTGATGATGCTCAGGCGCAAGTCGAATGGAAATACTGGACCGTACCATGGGGCTTCTTCGTTTTCCACGTCCAAGAATGCTCGATCGAGATATCCCGGAGGTAGTGTCAGATCACAATTTTCGTCAGTGATGGTAGGCGGCTGACCCGTGCGCAGTGCAAGATCCTTATCAATCGTGTAGCAAATCCAGAAGATATTCCGTAGTTGTAAATGCTCTTGCTGGCTGCGCTCATCCGTCGAGATGGCCTGACCGTCAAGCCGATTGCCACCCAGCATGAAAATGAGTCGCGCAGCAAGCGCCGCATAATAGTTGGTGGTCCGCATATTTCCCGAAGATAATTCGAAGAGAGTCTATGTTCACCGGTCAGTTATCGAAATCATACACTCGAGTGGCTCACTTACCAATATGGTAACAGCCTGCGCTGCGTCCAGACTGGCAGACTCCTGTAATACTTGAGGCATGAAGAATTTTGCCTTGGTGGCAAGTAGATCATGATCGATTGCAGCCGTCGTAGTAGTCGTGTTAACAATGCGCTTGACGTCAGGGAGACGAGAAACAAAGGTAAGAAATGCAATGACACAAACTCTGGCGCTAGCTTGGCCATATCTGAAGGTAGACAGCGATTGACTGTAAGCTGTTCTGATGGTTTCTTCAAAAAGCTCCGGATCTATAACAGGAAAGATGCGCCGCATCACGTTGGAGCTCTTATATGCCTGGAAGTACACCTGCATTGTTCCCCAGTCGGGAAGTTCATAGGGATTTGAAGTGTTCATGTTCATGTTCATCAAAACAGAGTTCAAGGTCTGTCCGCGCTCCTTATCCCAAGGCGCTCGGGCTGGACTCAGTTTATCAATTGAAACGTGCTGTCCGGTGCGAGCCTCGATCCATTCCTGTCCTTCGGGAAAGAGGAACGGCGTGCCAGTGAGTAAACTGATGACACCCAACTCTTTGCCCGCAAAGTGAACTCGCACTGACGATGAGTCTGGAGGCTGAGTGTTACTTGGGGAGCTGCTGGCCGTCGTATTGACTTCGAAAGATCGAGGCGAATCTCCAGGCACTTTTGCCAATTAGTTTCGGGGTGCTTCTGAGGTCTGCATATTGAAGAGGCACTAACCAGATATTTGATCACCCAGTAAATTCTCTACAAGAAGCTGCTCGATGCGACTAATTCGCTCCGATAGTCGTGAAACTTTGGGGCGTCTTATCTCCAACGTCAGACACATAGAAGAACAAGCTCGAGGTACAGACTCACCCCCCCTCGTCATCCTTTTTCCTTTTCCTCTGCACTACTCTATCGAATGTGCAAGGAATATTATGGTGGCTGCACCAATTACACTGCGGAATTGCAGCATCACATTTGATCTAGGACCAGTTTAGACGGGATCGAGAGTTGACGATGAACGATCTACCTTTCTTTTGTAACAGGAATCACAGGCACGAGCAGTCCGTGTCCGTGGCTGATCCGAGGCATTAGATCCATGATCCATTGTATAGTTGAGATGTCTTCAGCAAAATTAAGCTCAAAGGATGTGTCGGTGGAAATGGCTGGGTCCGAAAGCCGCTGACAAATAGCCGCTGACTCAGCCACGTCATGCCGAGGTCCATGAGATGAAGTGATAGAGCCATTGATGTCAATTAGTTTGGATAGTATTTATATGTAAAATTCCGGCTTGGATCGCTACCCCTGCTAGGGAGGGGGGGGGAGGTTGATATTCGAAGACGAATATTCAGTTTTGAAAGGAACCCGATCGGGTGAAAAGGATATTAAACCAGCTGCCGAGAAGCTGTTTTTAATTGTCTCTGATTTAAAAGCTTCAATTCGTACGGCAAGGTATGCTTCGAGAAAGTCAAGTTTATCAATATGGTTGATCCCATGCCGCGTTTTCGTTTCAACCAACCGACCGTACGTCCGTTTTGAGACCGCAAAACAGCCGATATCGAGTGGTTGGCTGCTATAATTTGAAGTTATATAATATCGCATTTACTATGTGTTTTGGGCGGCTCGCTTGGAAATTACGTTATCCAAGGATAAAAAAAAGATGTAGAACGACAGCTGTGTGATTCACACGCCTCCGAAGAGAATTGATTTCGAGCTAGTAAGGTTAGCAACTGCCGCTTGATTTGGTCGTTGGATTTAACGTACTCAATCGCCTTAGACCACTCGGCCAAACTGCCCTGGGACGCTGAACTTCCCCACTATTGGATTCTAGTAGGCATTACTCTTAACCTCAAAAAGCGATCGTCCGTAGCACATCAGTATCCTGGGATCATCCATGTGACAAAGGAAGCTGTTTCTGACCCCAAAAGCGGCCAGAAACAGCTCATAAACTACATATTAAACAGAGTCGAACAGAACAAGAATATATTGCTGCACTCGGGGGTATTGCATGGGTACCCATTAGAAACGCAGTCGTCATCCCCCCGGACCCTGATCCGCACAGATTCCCCGTATATTTTCCTTGTCTTGACCTCTCCACATGCGATCAGACCATCGCCACCGGAATTCCCAAACAATAAAACACATCCAAGCTCGAGGGAGATGAATGGCAGCTCACATCACAGTGCATATGCAGAAATCGCACTCTTCATCGCCGCAGTCACAGCCAAAGCATGGCTTAGAGACCGATTTGATGGGCTTTGTAATGGAGCTACCGGAGCTGCTGGAAGGAAGGATGCAGTCGAATGGGATTGAAATAGAGGTGACGGCCATGGTGGAGGATAAAGGCTTGGATCTATTGGAGATTGTCAGTCAAGTCCGAGCGAGAAAAAAAAAAAGCCGGTAGGTTAGAAAGCACAGAACATCGTACCTTCAAGCAAAAACAAACACGGTTATAGGGCTTTAAGCAGTGGGTTGGGAGAAAGGGGAAAGATGAAAAAGTTAGGCGACAGGCAGTCGGCTATTAAATGTTCCCACTTAGACCTCGTTAACTCCCAAGAACAAGAGACACGAGCCTAAGAATTGTTAGGCCATAACATCTTGTATTATCTGAATCAAAATGGACCCGCCACACACGTCACGGGAATATAGGGATATTATGCCAACACAGGATTGAGTCCTATAAGCGCACGAGCTGGAATAAATCAACAAAGTAGTAAATAAAAAAAGATACTTTGCCCTCTAATTAGTATGGCTTCACTCTGTAAATAACACCGTCTTCATCCCATTCAGATAACCGAAGCAGTGGTTCGCTATTAGTCTAGTAGCAAGAAGCATCATTTTACATGGGAATCTCTCAGTCAAAGGTGTGGGCGACGTAGCTTGATATTCTCTCCACTTGCACCTCTTCGTGAACACGGATACCGTCATTACTGCTTCCATACTGACCCACCAGAATCTCTTCATCGCTCCGGCTATAACGAGTAATGTACGACTCGGTGTGCCCCTCCTGTGCAGCATGAAAAGACGTAGTGTCCTTGGCCAGGTTCCGCATACGGTAGCGGGTGGAATGGTTGGAGTCGTCATGTTTGACACACTTGCCCTCTGAGCTCTCCGAATGCGATCCATGAACGATGGTGCGATATAACGGGCGGACGGTGGGGATGCCAACGCAGATAAGGGTGACAGCCAGTTCAACGGCGGACCAAATTATGAGGTTAACAGTGTCCTCTAAAAAAGGAATTAGTGGCATTGGATTGAGACGCGAGGAGGTGGCTTACCGGTGTAGTTGGAGCTGGCCAGCCCGCCCAGGTCAATAGTTCGGATAATTCCGCAAATGCAGGCTCTATAAATGAGGATAAGTATGTATTCATGAAGAATGGGATGCGATACACACATGAAGCCCAGACTCAAGCTGATTACGATAGACATCTTTTCCTTGACTTTCATGTTAAGATTCCAAATGAAGATCCACAAGAAGAGCAAAATAAAAGTCCACGGCAGCACACCAGCCTAGATTTTATCAATATCAGTATAGAACGTCTCATATAAACAGTCGAAGAGATATCGAACATACATCCAAGCATAACGGAGAAAGGGGTGACTGGGACAACAGTATACCCTGGGACGCGACGATCCCATATAGATCGAGACGGAAGACGCTGGAACCAGAAGATGAGGGCGGTCATCACCGACACAATCGACAAGCTGATCATTGAGGTCCATATGGAAATGCGATGCCATCGCTTGATAACAATACGAAGCAGGAAAGTTCCCAGCGAGATTTTCGCAATCGCCATTCCTAATATGGCAAATGTTTGTCCAATCATTTCGTTATACACGGCCTTCACAGCTGAGTCCATCTCCAAGGCATTTATCGATTGTCCGAATCCATGCACACCAGCAATCGTGAGAAATACAGTGTAGATGAGGAGGAATACCTATAATTAGGTCAGCGTTCTATCATAGGTCTAATCTTGGGTGCTTTGCGAATGGGAAAATATACTTACCCAGGCCAAATTGAAGACATGGTCATCCACCCCGAGTGCTTTCACAATATAGACTCGGGTGTAGAGCCTGAGCGGGACCAGAATAAAAGAGAGTAAAGTCATTGCCCACAGCACGGAAATGGCACGAACGCCTTTTCCAGCCAACATCTTCCAGATTCAGAAAGCCGGTTAAATCAGACCAAATGCTGCAGAACAATGGCGCCCGGAGCTTGCTAGATTGAGAGATAGAGAAACTAAACGGCATTATTGAGCAAATAGATCCTTGTCGCTCAATCCGTTCATTTCTGCACTTGCAGGGTTGTAATTCATATACCAGCCCGTTATGTGATAGCCTATATTATATATTAAAGCTAAGGAAACTACAACATAGTTAAGCATCATCGGGACGTTCAGGCTTGAAAACGGCCCGCAGTGTAGTAGCGCTCCTTCGAGGAGTTTGAAAAGCCAATTAGGTACTACCAATTGGATATTGCATACGAGGTACTCCATATTTCGTACTTTCGTCCTTTTCGTGCTTTTCGCTATTTTGATGGGTCTATGTGTCTTTACGCCAGCCTATTCGCCAATTGTCGGAGGATGGCCCGTTCGAGCAAGTCAATTGGAGTTGATTTTTATCCTATTGGCATTAACCAGACTACTTTGGAGCACAGCTGAGTCTAGGCCCAGCAATATGGAGTATGGAGGATCTTGCTATCTTCGCTTGACAACTAGCCACGTTTTGATTCGCATGCCCTTATACGGAGCCACATGGGATCGACATTGTGAGAGGGTATATGCGCATACGCGGGCTGTCTATATATTATTGTATATCACGGACTTTTGAGGGTTGAAGAGTGTATCCAGCTGTCAACTCTCCGTCACATATCATTCCACGATATTAAAAGATCGCCTTTTTGCGATGCTTGGTTACGGGAATAGAGATGCTGCCACTATGCTTGGCTATGCATTTCTCATAGCCCTTCCAATCTGGTATTTAACGACATATCTCCTCTCCCCGCTACGCCGTTATCCTGGTCCCTTTCTCGCAGGTGAGTCGCAGTATCCTTCTTAAGACCCATTTAGCGTTCCGTATTGACCGTATTGACCTCTTATACCTCATAGGCTGGACAAACCTATGGCGCATGTTACATGTTCGCCAAGGAAATAACCATGTTGTCATCCACGAGCTGCACAAAAAGTACGGCCCCGTGGTGCGCATTGGCCCTAACGTGCTCGACCTGGATATCCCTGAGTTGATCAAGACAATTTACAATATCAAATCGGAGTACTTAAAAGTGTGTATCTTACCGCAGGCGGCTACTTGTCACTAGTATTGATCATAGTCTGTGACAGACCGAGTTTTATCATGGCAGTAGCGCGAAGAACAACGGCAAGATCATCTACAATCTCTTCAGCGAGTGCGATCCCAAGTTGCATGCACAGCAGAAGCGGCCCGTCTCGAAACATTATTCCATGACCGGGGTTCTTCCACTGGAGCCCCATATTGATGATATGATTTCCTACTTGTGTCAACGTCTGGAGGAGAAATTCATCGATGTATCCAACCCAACCGAAACGTGCGATTTGGGCGAATGGATTGCGTATTGTAAGTTCAAGCCCATCGCATCAATCTTTTCCAAGACTTATAAATCATCTAGATACCTGGGATGTGGTTGGCAATGCCACTTTCAGCCAACCCATTGGATACCTGGAAAAAGGGTATGACTTTGACAAGACCCTGAGTATCGCGAATGTCGCCATGGACTACTTTTCCCTGGTGGGACAAATGCCAGTTCTGGATCATTTGTTAGATAAAAACCCCATCTACCGAATTGGCCCGCCGTCCTTCGGAACCGTCGCCAACATATCAATCCAGCACCTCACGGACCGGCTTCAGAACAAGGACACCGACTACCATGACCCCAGCAAGCCCGATTTCCTGGACAAATTCATCGAGGCCAAGGAGAAATTCCCAGAGGTGGTGGATGACTCACAAATCATCTCGTATCTGATGAACAACATGGTTGCAGGAGCCGACACAACAGGCGTCACCATTAACGCAGCATTGTACTTCTCCTTGAAACATCCTCACGTCTGGGAGCGTCTAAGAACCGAGATTCCCGCCCACGACCATACCTCTGAGAACAAGGTGGTATCCTTCAAATCCGCCAAGCAGTTCCCATACCTAGATGCCGTGGTACGGGAAGCAATGAGATGTCATCCCGCTGTCGCCATGCTCCTGGAGCGATACGTACCAGAGGGTGGACTTGCCCTTCCCGATGGAAGCCTCGTTCCTGCGGGGTCGATCGTTGGCATGAACCCCTACATTGTGGGGCGCAATCCGTCTGTCTGGGGTGAAGATGCCGAAGAGTTCCGTCCGGAGAGATGGCTCCGCGATGAGACGGAGATTGAAGATGCATTCCAGAAACGTTTGCAATCAATGAACAAGCTTGACCTCACTTTTGGCGGCGGAAGCCGTATTTGTCTAGGGAAGCACCTTGGTCTGCTGGAGGTGTTTAAGGTGATTGCGACTCTCGTGTCACGGTACGATATCAAGCTGGCTCATCCGGAGAAGGATTGGACGACGCATAATAGCTTTTTTGTGCGACAGGAGGGTGTCGAGGTGAAGCTTGCTCGCCGGAGTTGAAACACTGTGATCTACAAGACAAGGCTACATAGGAGATACAGGGTACATATGCATGTAGCCAAGACACTTTTACAGAAAAAATTCAAAGTTAAAGATTCAAAGCATGTACTCATTCACACTATATACAGCAGCAACTTTTGAGGGGTTTCATCAATCATCGCCGCAGTGACTGGGGTATCGTCTGGTCATTCGGGCTTTCAAGCCATCCGTCTATCCATTAAAATAAATCCTTTTTTGTTCATCAATCCGTAACAGAGCAGTCGGTTTACAACTGCTCCACCCAGGGAGCAACACCGGGCTGCATCTGGTTCAGCCACTTGACAAGCTCGATAAGCTCGGCCCGACGCTCATCCTCCAGTTGATCCTCGTCGCTGAGAACCGACTGGAAGATAGGAAGGAGGCTGGGGGTGAGTTCACGGATGGTGACATCCTCCCACTTGTACATCTGGCAGATCATGCGGTACAGGGGCTCGTTCTCCTCGTAATCGTTCTTCAGGGGAAGAATGTTGACAAGGGCAGGAAGAACATCCTTGGTGGGGACACTGTCGCGGTAACGCAAGATCATGCGGCTGACACAGCCGGTGGCATTATCCTGGAGACGCGAGACGTCCATCTGAAGGCAAGCCTCAAGACGGGCAAGGATGGTGGGGATCTCCTTGATGATCTCAGCCTCAGCATTGGAGTGCTGAATCAAGCGGCCAATGGCGTAAGCAGCATTGGACTTGGTCTGGGAGTCCTCGTCGGCGAGGCGGTGAAGGAGCAGCTTCAGGAAGACAGGGGTGAAGGGGGTCACGGCAGCACCCATGCCGTTGATGCACTCAGCGAGGACACCAACAGCAGTGGCGCGCTCAAGAGCCTCAGTGCTACCAGCGTAGCGGAGGATGGTCTTCTCGAACACCTTCCAGAGCTCGGCAAAGCTCGGGCCCATGGCAGCGGCCATGCCAGAGACAACGTCCAAGGCAGTGTCGACAACAATCCAGTCGAACTCGGAAGATTCCTCACCAGCCTCGAGAGTCTCCTCCTCGGGGCCGAACTCGACCTGGCAGATATGCTGCTTGGTGATGATATCAGTGACCATCTGGATCACGTTGTGAAGCATAGTCTCGTTGGCAATGAGGGCAGGACCACAGAAGCGCAAGTTCTCGGCCATGTTGCGGTTGATATCGGCGACAGTGGAACTATTAATTATCGGTCAGCAATCAAGTCATTGAATCGACAGTTGATAAGTAATGAGGCAATGGTAGGAGTAGATCTCAGACTGTAGACTTCGCCGTTTACATCAAGTACGCCTTTGGCGCATCAAAGTGAGCTGGGTTAAGCGGAAAAAATCATCATAGAAATGGTTGGGCAAGGGAAGAAAAAAACAAAAACAAAAGACGGGTGAAACATACCGGTCATCTTCTTCGGTCCACATCTTGACAGTGGCTGTCATGAGAATCTCACCGAACTTCTGGACCTCCTTGGCAGGCTGAACCTGAAGGGGGAGACCAGGCTGCCACTTGGGCATCTGGCCATTCTCTTCGGCGATAGCAAAGAGCATAGCGTATGAGCGATGCAGAGTGCTGATGGTGCTCTTGCGAACACCCTCGTAAGGGTGCTCACACAAGGGCATCACATGCTCAATGGTCTTCTCAAAGTAAGGCAGGAAGGCGCTGCGGGTGTGGGTGACGAGGTCACCGATGACCTCAACAGCAATCTCCTTCTCGAGGGAAAGAGGTGTGGTGGCGGTAATGTCGTCCCACTCGTCCTCGTCTTCGAGATCAATATCCTCGATATCACCATCATCCTCATCGTCGGCACTTGCGACCTTGACCTTGCGGCCATTGAAGGTAACCTCCTGTCCAACAAGGTCCTTGGCAGCACTGCCGAGATCAACATCAAGGTCGCTCTCGTCCTGCTCGATGCAATCGTACAGACCCTTCACGACACCGTCAAGGAAGGGGGCGAAGTGCTCGCCGTAGACCTTGGCCATGGCACCCCAGAAGATGTATGTACTCTCCTTGAGACGGGAGTGACCGAGATGCAAGGCTTCCTCAGTGGCACGCATGAGTGGCTCAACGTACGGCTGGTAACGTTCAGGACCAGCGGCGGCGGCCATCTCACCCATGGAGTCAGTGACACTGGCACGGAGGTCGAGTTCATCCTCACTGTCCTTGACAGCAGCAAACTCCTGGAGGAGATGCATCGACTCGTCGAAGAATGAGAGGAAGGAGTCACCGGCAGAGGAGGCGAGGGAGCCAAGAGCACCGGCAGCAAGGGCCTTGATCTTGAAATCGGGGTGCTTGAAGAGATTGTGCAGGATAGGGACAAGCTCGGCCTGGTAAGGAGAAACATCCTTCTCATCCAGACCATCAACAACAGCATCAATAGCACTGATACCGGCCTTGATAATATCGAGTGTAGGGCCTTCCTCCTCGCCTTTGTACTCTTGCATGGCGCTGGCCAAGTTCTGGAAGAGCAACGGCATGAGGCGAGCGTGCTCGGAACTGAGGTCTTCAACGAGATCCTCTGCAAGACGAGC